TGTTGTAAAATGTTGTATGTCTGTTAATGTTTCCCTCCTTTTATCTTTAAAATAAAAAAAAATAAAAATTTAAAAAAAAAAAAAAAGATGTAGCTCTGTGCAAAGGCCCTGGGTTCAGTCCCCAGTACCATACACAAACAAAGTGGCAAATAGAGAAGTACAGTTCCTATGAAGTTCTTGCTATTGCCAGTTCCAATCTTGTTTTATTTTTGCTTGTATTTCTAAAAATGGACTATAATATATTTTGGGTATGTTTACTAAGCAGAAGAAAAAAAATAAATGTGTAGAATCCTCCTATTTCAATACTTATTACAAGGAAAGCAATATCCTTACATTCAATAAAAAACTTTTTTTAATGTTTATTTTATTTATCCAGAGTCAAAGATATCTAGTGTTGAAAGCTGGAGTTCTTTTTTTTTTTTTTTTTTTTTTGGTTTTTCTCCGGTACCAGGAACCGAACTCACGACCTTGCGCTTGCCAGGCAGGTGCTTTTGCCACTGAGCTAAATCCCCAGCCCCAAAAGCTGGAGTTCTATATGCCTCACTTAGATGTCAGATTCTTTTTCCGTGGTTGGGAAATTTTCTGCTACTACTTCTGCAAATATTATTTTCACTTTGAAAACAAGGGGAAATTTATCAGGAAAGTATGGGTATCTCATTAAATCATTAAACATAATATGCATTTGCTCTTTAAGATGTATTTTTCTTGCCTTCAAATTGGAAGGGACTGTCACCAGTAAAAAGTTTTGCCTGTTTTGCAGACTCTCATCTAAGATGGTATGATTATGGATATGGTATAAATACGATATGAGACAATATATAAAAGGCTGCAATAGGATCTCTTAACATTTTTTACAACTATAATACCATATTTTATTCTCATATTTAGCCTCCAACTAACCTACCATATTTGATTCAACACCTTTCCTCAGCCTTAAGGAAATGTATTGTAATGTAATGTAATATAATATAGTATAATATAATATAATATAATTTGAACCAGTCTTTCCCAAACCAGACTGTATCTCTGAATTGTGACATAAAACTGTTTTGGTTATTTTTCAGATTATACCATTTTTTTTTCTTCTATTAGCAGCTGCTAAAGCACTAATTATTAACATCAATAGAATAAAGTGACAAGTTGTAAAACTGCGAGGTTTTACCTCAGTGCTATAAATTGCCTTTAGCCCTGGGTTTATCTGCCTTCCACGGGGCAGAACCTAGGGTGAGGCAAAGAGCACAAAGTGTAAGGAAGCTTCCAAAACTTCAGTGATCAAGATAAAAACAGTAGGGGCTGGGGATTTAGCTCAGCGGCAAAAGCGCCTGCCTGGCAAGCGCAACGTCGTGAGTTCGGTTCCCGGTACCGGAGAAAAACCAAAAAAAAAAAAAAAAAAAAAAGATAAAAACAGTATTTTAACATAACATTTTCAGAAATAAAATCAATGCAAAAGTAATCCCTGATGAACAAAATGTCAAAATTTAAAAAAGGATCAGGCCCTGCACTTTGCTTTGTCTCATTTTAATTTCTAGGTCAATAAAATTATGTTTGCAAAAACAGCCAAAAGGCTGTAGTGTTCCCATTTAATTTTTAAAAATGTTTTATTAAAATATTGATTATCCCCATAACCAAAAATTTTAGCCTCTTTATATTTTTGTTTTTGTTTTGTTGAGACAGTGTCTCACTATGTAGTGGCACTGAACTCACTATTTAGCCCAAGCTGACCTCAAACTCATAGCAATCTTTCTGCCTCAGCCTCCTAAGTGCTCAGATTACAAATATGCACCATTGCACTCAGCCTTAAATTTTTTTTATACTTTGAAAGAAATGTCTCACCTTATCCAACTTCCAAGCAATTACCAAATTGTTTTCTTTTTTATGTGGCTCTGGAAGTAAAACCCAAGGCCTCATGAGTGTCAAGTAACTGCTCTGCTACTACGCCACACCTCCAGCCCCACAAATATTATTTTTTAGAAGTCATTTTAATGTCACCAAATATTTCAGAACTTGTGATCATATTAAGCTTAGGAGCCATCCATCACTATGAAATCCACAGGGACTGTGTCTTAGAAGAGGAAAGTCTATTGATTCCAATCATGAAATGATTGGTGCTCACCTTAAAGCAAAAAAAAATAAAGACTTAGGTACTATTCATGGTGAGTCCCTTTCAGAGGTGAGGGAGGCAGTTAACTTCTTCAGCCTCATAAAAGCATCTATGAAACCCCACACCCAAAATGAAAATTAATCTTGAAAAACAGAAATCTTTCTGCCCTAAAATCAGACAGAATTGAAGAATGTCTAATCTCACATCTAGTTAGCATTTTACTAGTAATTCTTTTGCAGTACTGGGGATTAGAATATAGAGCTTTGTGCATGCTAGGCAAGCATTCTGCCATTAAAATACATCCCAGTAATATTAGTCACTTTCAATAGCTTGGTGTGGTGATGCACGCGTGTAATGCCAGCACTCGGGAGGCTGAGGCAGGAGGATTGTTGCAAGTCCGAGGCCACCCCAGGCTACAAAGTGAGCTCAACGCCAGCCTGATCTGCATAGTGAGACCCTGTCTCAAAAAGACAAAAAAAGCAACCTATTAGTCATTTTCAGTCACTGGGACAAAATATCTGACACCAATAGCTTAAAGGAGGAGCTGTTCATTTCACTCATGGTTTCCATAATTGGCTAGCTCCAAGGCAGAAAAAAACATACCACAAATGCATGGCAAATGACAGTTGCTCAACCCATGGAAGCCAGGAAAAAGAGACAACAGTACACCCTTCTAGGTCTCCCTCTCAGTGACCCAGTTCTTCCAACCAGGCCGCACCTCTTAACAGCACAATCAGTATGAACACAATAGATTAATCCACTGATAAGCACAGTACCTGCATGACCCAATCACTTTCCAAAAGCCCTATCTTTGAACACATGAGACTTTTAGGGGGACATTTTAATTCTAAACCGTAACACCAGCCCAAGAAAGTCTACCCATTCAGAGCACTGAATTAAGAAAAAAAATGCAAGGCAGCCACACTGGATAAAAGATATATATCTATTCTCACATACCATTATTGTATATGTAGAAATTCTTATGTATACAGAAAGAAGAGACAGAGAGCAAGAGAAAGAGCTAATAAATTCAGGAAGGTGGCAGGACAAGATCTATACACAAAAACAAAATCTAGTATTCTGATTCTATATACAGGCTGAATACCCCCAAATTGAAATCTGAAAAGTTCTGGAACTTTTTGAAGACTTTAGAGTTTCAGATTTCAGAGCATTTATGAATTTTCCAATGGTAAAGTCTATGTAAATATTCCCAAATCCAAAAAATCCACAATCAGAAACACTTTTGATTACAAGCACTTCAAATGAGGCATACTTAACCTGTACTAGCAATGAATTTTCCAAAAATGAAATTAAGAAAGCAATTCCACTGGGAGTGGTGGCACACGCTTGTAATCCTAGCACTCAGGAGGCTAAGGCACAAGGACTGCTGTGAGTCTGAGGTCAGCCTAGGTCACCTAATGAGTTCAGGCCAGCCTGAACTACAAAGCAGGACCCTGTTTCCAAAAAAAAAAAAAAAAAAGAAAAAAAGAAAGCAATTCCACCAAGATTACTCAGTAAGCCCAAAGAATCATCTTTTAACAAAGGGTTTCAAGCCAACTAGATATCCACATGTAAAAGAATGAAGTTAACTGGGAATGATGGCTCAGGCCTGTAATCCCAGCACTCAGGAGGCTGAGGCAGGAGGATCCCTGTGAGTTCAAGGGCAGCCTGGGCTACAAAATGAGTTCAAGCCTGAAGTGCATAATGACAATGTCTCAAAAAGACAAAAAAAAAGACAAAAAAAAAAGAAAGTTAGATCCTACTTCACACCATATGTAAGAATTAACTCAAAATGTACCAAAGATGGAAAATATGGAGTTAAAACTAGAAAACTTAGAAGGAAACATGGGGTAAATCTATGTGATCTCTGAGATATCACACCAAAGGCTTAACAACAAAAGAAAAACCAGATAAAATGAACTTTACCAAAATTAAAAACTTGCTCTGCTCTTTCCATTTACAAATTCATTCCTCTCCCTTTGGCTCTGTGTGTCACCTCTCATTTCTGAAGTTCACACTTCTCACTCCCTGTCCTATCCCAGGCTGCCACCACACATCTGTTTCTCCCCTCTTTTTTTAAAAGGGCCTTGGCTCATTCCCTCCTTCATGTTTTTTGTTTTAAAACAAAGTCTCTTACAGCCCAGGCTCGCCTCCATCTCACAATCTTCGGCTTTTCGACCTTTAATGGCTTCCTTGCCCCGCTGTGCCTCTTCAGTTTAAAAAGTCAGCCTCTCCACTCTCTTCCCTCGTCCCTCATTTATAAAGCCTACCCTTCCATCCCATTTCCTTCTTTTCTAACGTGGATGACAACCAATGTGAGAATTTGGTCCAAGTAAAACCTGTTTTTATCGGGAATCGTGTGAGTCGGGAGGAGGGGAAGGCCAGGGGCCTTTGTAACAGAGTTCACTTTTTAGGGCTCCCATCGCTATGGAGCGGGTGACGTTAAGAGGGGAGAGGGCAGCAAGCAGAGGGGAAAGTTGACGCCACACAAAGAAACCACCACCCAACAGGCGACAGCCCTGGGTTCAATCCCCAGCACCAAAACACACTTAAGAGCAAACCAACCACCCTTCTCTCTTTCTGTACTCTTCACTCAGCGACCCCTAGCAATCTGGCCTCCACTCATTTATGCCACACGCTTGCACCGTGAGGAGTGCGAGCGGCCCCGCGGGGGTGAACAGACAAGCGGCTAGGCGCCATTTCTTAGAAAAGTCAAATACACTGAAAAACCCACCTTTATACCTCCCCCACGACACTCTCAGAGAAATCACTACACCCCACATGAGTTTATTTAGCTTCCCTTCAGAGACGAAGCGCCATAGTGCCACTTCCAGCCTGTCTGAGGTAAAGGACCCCATGAGCCCGAGCGGGTGGAGGTGGGAATCTGGGTTCTACATACCTAGAGACATATCTAGAAAGGACGCAGTTTTTCTGTCTGGAAAACCCGCCGTTTCCTTCCAAGAAGCCCCGAAGTTTGAGCCGGTAGCCATCTCGTCCGTCCCTCCGTTGGACTGCACCACTCTGCCGCTGCCCGAGCGAAATGTTCCTGTACTAGAGCTCCCCCTACCAACGGAACAGTCTTGGCTAACCAAATCACCCAATCAGTGTTTCCCTCACTGTTTCCATGTCTCAAGGAGTGGACATTATTGTTACATCACTCAGAACGTCTCCAATCAGAAACCAGATCATGAAGCGGGAGAAAAAGCCCGCTCATTATGCCCCACCCGTTTCTACCCCACCCCCTCCAGACTTGTGGGGCCGCGCTTTTACAATTCCAGCACATTCGGAGTGGAAATAAAACGGAAATAGCCTACCCTGAGCCAGTAGGAAGTCCCTGTCAGGAAAAAAAAAAAAAAAAAAAAAAAAAAAGCCCGGGAAATGCAGCTCAGCGTAAAAGCCTTGAGTTCAATCCTCAGTACTGAAAAAATATTATATATACATACACCATTTATATGAATGTATTTTCCCTCCTCATATACACTCAGTCAGCTTCCTGGGGACTTTCTGACCCTTTTGACCCTTGCCTTTCCTTTCCCGTTTTTTTTTTTTTTTTTTTTTTGGTGTTTTTGAGACAGGGTCTCGCTATAATGTTCAGGCTGGCCTTGGGCTCACTCTCTAGCCCAGGCTGGTCTGGAACTCACAAAACGATCCTCCTGCCTCAGCCTCCCGAGTGCTGGGATTACAGGCATGACCACCAAGTCCGGCCCCTTTCTCTTCAAAGAACCCATTTCTCCTCTTTGCTGTTGGCCCTCGGAAATAAAATCTTAGGTCTTCACTTGATGGGCTGTTTTTCTCCTTCCCTCAAATTTGAAGAGCTATCACAAATCATAGTAGCTAGGGCTCAGACACAGGCCCACAATGCCACATTTGTTAGGAAAGATTTAAAGGCGTGTCCGTGGCTTTTTTTTTCTTTTTTTTTTTCTTTTTTTTTTTTTTTTTTTTTGGTTTTCATGGCCTCGCGCTTGCCAGGCAGGCGCTGTGTCACTGAGCTAAATCCCCAGCCCGTCCATGGCATTTCTTAAGAAAAATGTTATGGTTGCTGTTAAAGCCTAAATTCCGTGCGAAAACACTTTTAAAATGTTAGTGGTCTTTTAATGTGTCACTAGGCCCTCGGTAGAAAGAAATATCAAATTAATAAACTGCGAAAACTGAAAAAGAATTCCTTTACAAAAGTCACAACAGAACGTCTGACGCATCTAGTGTGGTGCTGCAAGGCCTGTGATTACGGGACTGTGTTGCCCAACCTGGGCAATTTAGCGACTTAATGAGACCCTGTCTCAAAATAAAATTTAAAAAATGAGGTAAAGTACAATAAGCGGGGGGTGTGCCTTAGTGAGAAAGCCCTATGTTCACTGGCTGGCACCAGAAAATATTTTTTTAAGTCTGAAGAAGGCCAGCTGCACTGGCTCAACCAGCAATACTAACTAACTACTCAGGAGGCCAAAGCACGAGATTGCTCCAGCCCAGGAGTTTGTTGCAGCCTAGGCAAAATAACTAGAGACCCAAGCCCCACCACCCGACATCTCTAAAAATTTGCATTTAATTAAATGCTTAACACCGAAGGTCCAGTGATTAATAAATAATTTTTTTTCCACAAGGCATATATAGCTGATGGAAAGTAAAAAATACATAGAAAATATTAATTTAGGTACTATAATTTAGTCTGTCAATAAACACTGAAGGTATTTAGAGTCTGGGGATAGAAATATCTACAGAATGTATCTGGAATTTAAAAGAGAAAGTCCACTTAAGGAATCAAGAAAAAATTCATTTAAAGTTTGAAAAATTAGGTAATAACTGAGGAGAATACCAATGATATTTCTTGGCACAGAAACCAGCACTACCAACATGCATTGGGAAGTTCTAGCAATTTCCCGTGGAATTGACCAGCAGAGATTAGATCATCGAACAGCTTTTTATTATTATTTTCTTGTACATCAGAATAACTCAAAAAACTTATTTAAACAGCTTATTGGGCTGAACCCTCACAATTTCTGATTTAGTAGGTTTGTGATTGTTCCTAGATGATGCTAATATTGCTGGTAGAAGGACCATACTTTGAGAACTTTGCTTCAAACTTTGCTTTAGTTTTACTATTTACATTCACTGTGTTAGTGATTTCATACAGTCTTATGGCTTTCAAAAGTAGCTATACAGTGATGTCTCTCAAATTTGAATCTCTAGTTTAGAGTTCACCACTGAAAATTTAGGTGACTACTCAGAACTTGTACTCAAATATCTTATTTTTTTGTTTGTTTATTTGAGACAGCATCATGCTTATGCAGTGCATGCTGGCACTGAATTTGTGATTCTCCTGCCTCAGATTCCTAAGGGCTAGGATTGTAGGTACACATTGTCACATGCACATCTCAGATGTAATTTTCTGAGATTAAATCTTTATCTTACCTCACTAAACGTGCTCCCTTCCCATTCTGTTCCATTTCACTGAGTGGCAGCTTCCTCTATTTGCTCACACCAGAATTTTTGAAGTTACAAAAAGTTACACTAAAAGGTCTGAAGTCATCTTTGACACTTCTTTTTTCACACACTACATGCATTTCATCAGGAAATCCTGTGAACTCTCTCTTGATAATGTATCAAGAATGTCAACATTCCTCATCACCACTACCACCAACTTGGTATAAGCCATCACCTATTTATTTATTTATTTTTTGTTTATTCATTCATTTATTTAGCAGTGCTGAGAGCGGAACCCAGTTCTCAAGCATACTAGGCAAGTGCTTTACCTCCAGTCCATCCATCATTTCTTACTTAGATTAGCTACTTTCCTAACTTATGTTTCTACTTCTAGTGTGCCCAACTGTGTCCATTCATCACGCAAAACCAAACTTAGTGTTCTGAAGCATGAGGTAAACCATGTTATTCTGCTAAAAATCCTTCAACAATTCACCAGCTCACATAAAATCTAAAGTGGTTAGGAGAGCCTACAAGGTCCCACATAATTATCCCAGTCAGCCACTCTGGTCCAGCTTTATGGGTTTCTTTGTTGTTCCTTGAATACTCTAAACATGTTCTCTGCCTCAGGGCCTTTGCACTATCTGTTCCTTTGTCCTGATATTAACATGCTCTTTCTCCAAATATTTGCAGTTTACTTTTTTGGGATTTTGCTCATATACCATGCTGTCTGTGAAGCTCAATGTATGCACTGTATTTTAAATTAAAAACTTACCCCTTTTACTTGAATCCCCCTTCCCTAGTTTTTCTTCATTGTACTAATCATATTTTATTTTATTTTATTTTCATACTCATCTTCCTCTCCCTGCCACTAGAATGTAAATTCTATCAGGCCACACGTTGTTGTCTAACTTGTTCAATCCATCCGGGCACACATTGTTGTCTACCATGTATTCCCAGCATGTAGAATAGTACCTGGCACATAATAAGTATTTACTAAATATTTTTCAATGAAGAAATGAATGTAATGTTCTTGGGACTAAACCCTTATATCTCACTATCTGAAGACTTTTTCTTGTTCTGAATACCAGCTCTATTGCTTATTTGTATACAGAGATTAAATATGGTCTTTCATCCACCTTAGATCATTTTAGTTGAAACACTGACAACTGAAGGGTCCAGAATCTAACTGCCAAATTTAGTAAGCGATGTCTGCTTTTCTGCCAACTAATTGTTTTTTGCTCTTTTTTTGTACCAATAGTGAAACTCATGACCTCATGCTTGCTAGTCAGGTACTGCGCCACGAGCTATATCCCTGACCCCTTTCTCCAATTAATTGTAACCAACATTATATATTAAAACATAGTTCCACTCACAGAAGCCTAGCTGAAACCCAGACACTTTAGTAGCCTGGGTGACTGCATCCTCCCCCTGCACCCACTGGAGTGGGAATCAGTCTGGGTCCCAGGCAGCCTCTAGAGCCTTGACCACGATGTGTTCCCACCCCTTGTAACCTCGCAAAAGCAGAGCTGACTGCTGGACAACTTCACAAACCTTGGTGAGATACCAATGCCCCTCCTTCACCAGTGTGTGAGCCAAGCAGAGGCCTGGACAGCTTCAGGGGCCTCAGCAGCTACCACCCTCCTACACACCCTCACAGGTGGCCGTGCTGAATTCTGAACAGTTCCAGCAGCCTGGGTGATGGTGACCTCACCTGACCCCCACCAGAGTGGGAACCTAGCTGGGTCTTGGGCAGCTTCTGGAGCCTTGACCATGACCACACCCCTGCCCACAAACATGCAAAAGGGAGGCTGAAACTCAGAAAACTTCAGGATCCCTGGTGAGCCTCCCCCACCCCTCCCTCACAAGCATGTGAACCACATGGAGCCCCAGACAGATTCAGGGGCCTCAGTGGCCACTCCCACCCCTTGCACCCTCCCAGGAGCTGAGCTTAAACCTGGACAACTTCAGCTGCCTGGGTGATTGTGTACTCACCCCTTCCCCACCAGAATGGGAATCAGGCTGGGTCCTAGACAGCCTCTGGAGCATTGAACATGATCTACCCCAACTGGAACCTTGAGAATGCAGTGCTGAATCCTGAAAAACAACTTCAGGAACCTCGATGAGCAGCCCCAGCCCCTCCCCCAGCAGTGCGCAAGCCAGGTGGAGCTCCAGACAGCTTCAGAGGCCAAAATGGCCACTCCCTGCCCCTGCCTGCACCATCACAGGAAGCAAGCTGAAATGAAGACAGCTTCAGCAGCGTAGGTGATTGCACTCTCATCCCTCCCGCAACAGTGTGGGAACTGAGTGGGGTCTCACACAGCTTTGGGAGCTTTGGTGCCCACAGCCTACCCACTCCTGCACCCTGGTGGTAGTCAGGCTGAACCTTGGACAGCTTTGGGAGCCTTGTGTGGGAGCCAAGCTGAGCCATGAAAAGCTTCAGAAGCCCCAATGACTGCACACCCACCCCTCTTTCACTGGCGTGGAAACCAACTGAAACTTGAAAAGCTTTGGGAGTATTGGTAATGGCACCCCACATAAATACACCATTGCAAGAGCCATGTTGAGGGCCAGAAAACTTCAGGTCCTTGCCTGACCACTCCCACTCTATTGTGGGAGTGAGACTGGGTTCCATGGAACCTCTGGATCTTTGAAAATGAAAACACAAAGGAACAAAAAGCAATC